AAGTGGCCAGTGTCTAAACGAGAGTGACTCCTGCCATTTTCAACATGGTCAAGTAGGCACATCGTTCAAACTGCCGGTGCATGCAACGTTCGTGTCCGCGATTCGCTAGCGAGTCCACGGAAAGTTTGACACGGGCCTAATGACGGAGCCATGCATGAAGTGCATGTCAGGTGTATTGGGTGTAACAACATGGCGGACATGTCGTCATAATGGTTGACTTCTTGATTTTTTTGTCAGTCTTTCTTCTTCATGAGGTTCTTTTTCACAACCGCTTCACAAACAGGACATCTCCGGTTAGACGGGCAAGGCAGGCACAGAAATTAAGCTTCATCAGAGAAAGCGGATAGGTCGAGAGTCTTCAGTCACTCAATTCTATCTTAATGCTATGCACAACCGGTCATTTATCGGACGACAAATGTACTATGAATTGTGTTTCAATGTAGAAAGGTTTGTTTGCGTTTATGTCGGACTAACCTGGTTCAGGTGGCTGCGTGTTTGCTGGTTTATTGAATGGATTTGACGCCAGTTTCCCGTATATTCGTCGTTTTGGCGGTTCGAACAGTATGGGATACAGTTCTGGACCCTTCACTTCGGAACATATCGGCGGACCAAGTGTCCAACAGCTGTCTCCTCGTGCTTGAATTGTGGTGGCTTCGGTAGACGATGAACTTGCTGACGTGTCCGCTTGCTGATTATGTTGAACTGTGCTTTCTGGCGTTGGAATCGTACACATTTTCATGACTCTTGCGAAGTATTCACTGAAAATTCAAGAGTTGGTTGCTGTTGCAAGCTCGCTCAATGAATGGTTTACGTTTAGTTTGTATTCATGATCCTGTCTGCATAATTTGTCATTCAAATGATATTATGCTTTACTTTTCTTCTCGTGAGCTTTCTAAATCTGCATCGCTAACGCTTTTGAAAATTAAGTTGAGCGATTCTCAATCAGAGGACGTAAAAAGATGACCCGAAAGTAAATAGTCTAGCAGTGAAAACGAATACAGGGAATTCAGCAAGTTCTGTTATGAGATCTCTTTTTGACCGACAACTTGGCGGTAGTTGAAGTAGCAACGCTAATTGACATCACGGTAAAGTCATGCTCTGGTCGACCGCAGCGACACCTCTGTGCCGTAACCGAAACTTCCATTCCGAGGCACGAATGCGCAAAGGCGTCACCTTTGAACTTCTGCGGTCTAATCTCGTTGAATCTATGTGATTGCGAGGGAAGCTCCCGCCGAATATTAAGAAGACCAGGAGTACACTATAAAAGACAAATAGAGCCTCCTTGGAGGTATTCTTCTTGTCTCCGGCGGAGCGGGCGCTGGGCCCGTCAAAAGTCCCGCTCGTCAGAACCCCTGTCTTCCCGACGTCAACTGCAGCAGCCGGTATCATCTTCATCTCTGCCTCGAGAAGCCCCGCAGCTCTTCGTCTTCTCTTCGATTCACTCTGTTCTTTTTACTTTGTTCATTGTAATAAACTCTATTATCTTCTCGATCTTCGCTTTTTACACAAGCGGAGATCTACAGGCCTCATACATTACAGAACATATGTATCCTAATTATTACATGAATTCACGAACAGATCATTGCACTCATTGCCTTTGCTCAATTTTTTAAATCATAAAAACATACTCACGCGGCAGCTCTAGCGAAGAGAATTGTATCGCTAAGCTCAAGATCACGTAGCTGCTCGTACTGTTCGTCCTCTTCCACGTCTATCTGGAACTCTTTTCGACATATCCGTCTACCTACTAGCAGTTTTAGGAACAAGCATGAATTTGCATCGTTCTGCCTTTGTTCTTATCCAAGAAATCAAGAATAATCAATTACCGTGCTCCTCTCATTTACTTGTCGGAATACGGTGATAATATCCTCAAGACACATTATGCGGTCCAAGCGCATTGTGCTGGTGTCACCTTAACCATTGAATGAACCGATTATCTGCGGACAGTCTTGAAATTTTTCGGAATCTTAGTAAAATATTCATAAGGCATTCACATCGAATGTTACAAAAGTACACAAAAAACCGTATGCATACATCAAATACAACACTGTAAGGGACATGCAAGTGAAGGTGATTGCATGTAAATAGGGGTAATTCAGGGGATAGGCTGGTCCCCTGAAAGACCCCTATCTCACCAGATTTCTTCACCAGATTGGTCCCCCGTCGACCGCCGAACCTCCCTTCCCTGCGTAAGCTTTGCTTCCTCCTCCTCTCCTTACTCTCCCCTCGTTCCTCCACTGCTCGCCAGCTGCCACAGCAGCACCTTGTGGAATGACCGAAAGTGTGCTAAGTAGGTGTTTATATAGCCGTTGGGGTGTTATCACAATCATGCCATTGCAAAACATTGAGGGCAAGTCCTGCAAGCC